AAATTTATAAAATATAAATAATATTAAAAAATTAAAATTCTTATAAGTAAACACAAACAAGCGTAAAGCAGGATGAAAAGGGCGGCTTTTTCCGAGGGGCACTGATTGTATTCACAATTTTCAGAGGACCCCACCAATAGACGCGAAATCATAATCCGTTCTCGCAATGCCCTTTGCTCCCCCAATCGTTATTTTTCACGTTTTCAGCCATTAGCGGAGATAATAATTAAGCGAGAAAGAAATATGGAAGATAATTTTAACTTCATTAAATCCATAAGTAAGAATTTCAGAAATTATGAGAAACAAAACTTTAAAATTTTAATTCAGTAATTAAGTCATTTTTAGTTTCACCAAATTTCGTCCACCCTTGTTAATTTCGATTAGATTTAAAGCTAAGACTTTACCAATGGTTATCCATCGAGTTCTCACTTTATTTGTTTAAGGGCTTGTTTGGTTTTAGGGCAGAAGAGAATATTTCGAGGAATCAAATTAAGAGTATTTTATCGTTTTTAATCCTAACTCATATTTTCTTATAAGCTATACCATAGAAAATTTTATGAGATAATAAAGTCCTTGTTTGAGCTGTTTGCAAACAAGGCAAAAAAAAGGAGCGAGTTAGTTTTTTGTGAGTCTAGTGGTGTTACGGCACAAAGCAGAACGTTAGTCATTGATTCGGCTTAAAAAATAAAAAAAACGCTAGTCATTGATTGGAAGAGGTTTTTTTTTAATACCAGGGGCTCTTTTTAATTTATTAATTAATATTTTACAGTACCATATAATATAAATTAATAATATATTTAGTTTAAATTTTATTTTATAGTTATCAATAAATTAAAAAAATAAAATCAATTATTTTATTTTTTAAAAGGAAAAAAGAGAAATAAAGTGAAATAAAAATTCTCCATTTCACTCCATTTCTTTTCCTTCTTTCTATTTTTTTTTTTAAATCAAATATATTGCACAATTATTTTAATTTTTTTTATTGTGTAGTCCATAGAAAAGAAAAGAGCAAGTAATAAAAAATAGAGGAAAGACTAAACTTTATTTTTTTACATAAACAACGTAATCCGGTGAAACATATCTGGAAAAATCACATCAATATAAAAACATAAATATAATAGTCAACGCAAATGGGAATGGAACATGGATATATCTCGTCCGTATATATCTACTGCCAACAAACAAAAGAATGAACCCAGAGAAAACTATATAAAAAACTGTCAAGCCTCGGTCTAACGTCTGCCGTCACGATCACAGATCGAGTTTGCACTTGGTGGTCTCCACACTACCGGCCAAGCTGCCATCAGAAGAGCTCAATGGCACCTTCAAGTCGCACTCAATCTTGGGCTTGAACTTGCCTATCTTGAACTTCCACACTTTGAACCTAATCCTCAAGTTCAATTTTACATCGATGCTGTAAGTCCCTGAACTCTTCTCCTGATTGTACTCGGAGAGTTGCTCGGTGCCGAGCACCAACAAATTCTGCCCCTTAAAGACGGGATTCAAGTAACTGGTGTTCTTGTGCCCCTGATAAAATGGAGTGAGCGTTTCGGTATCGAAGCGTTCATCCTCGTAGTAGGCGTTTGCCTCGATGCGGTCGTAGTAGATGCCGATTTTTTTGTTGGGGTTGCGCACGGTGATGTTGAGGGCGAGGTTGTAGTTGAGGTAGTTGTCGGAGAGGTTGAATTGGGTGAGGGAGGCGTCCGTCACGCTGAACTTAACTTTGTTGGGTCGGACTACGAGCCAGAAGATGAGGACGGCCAGGCCCACAATGACTACGGCTGTGACTATGAGCTTGAGGAGGAGGCTGAGGAGGCAGCAGCCGCAACCACAGCCAGAGCCGCGGCCATGACGGTGGTAGGACCTGGCAGGTGGGACGGCGGGGCCATAGTAGGCTCCGTTCAAGTGGGATTGTTTATCAGCCATGGAGTATATGACACAAGAAACTGCTCTGTTTTTGGTTTGGGGGAGATGAAGTCGAAGGAAAAATGGGATGAGTAAGGGAACAAAGAGGGGTATGTATTTATTGAGATGGAGTCATAGTGGGAAAATGAAATCCATACACGAAAACACATGCAGGGGAGGTAATGGACTGGTCAATTGACGCGGTTGTTTCTGTTGGGGAGGATATAATTTGTCAACTGCGGCTGCGGCAATGCGGCCGGATTGTATCAACAGCTGACGTTATTAATAAAATGACATTTTCTTGTTATATGATTAAAATTAAAATTTTTATTTTTTTCTTATATTTTTTCTCTATAAAGATTTTAATTAATTAATTTGTTTTATTAAAAAAACTATACATGTATAAGAGATTTTATATAAATAAATAAATATATATATATATATATATAAAAGATGATCAAAACCTAGAACTTCAAAGGGTTATTTGTTTTAATTTCCTAAAAACAATCATCAAATATTAGTTTGAATTGAAAAAAATTAAGATGTTTAGATTAAAAAAAAGATGATTAACTATTAATTATCAATTATTAAGTATAACTGCGTTCAGAACATCTCCTAAGATTATAATACCTCTTTATCAGAACTATACGCCGAAGGTATCATTGACTTATGTGGCTGATTTAACTACGTGGCAATGTGAAATGGTTCTTGGAACCTTCATGGAGTAATTGGGTTTATGTATTCCTTTCCCTTTTCCATTCTGTTGTAGACTTTTGGATTTGGTGTGAGAGAAAAGAACAACGGAAAGTTGTAATGATTTGGTTTAACTCGGCCAACACAATGACGTGTAGGGACTTATTCAAAAAAAAAAAAATTTTGTTGGTGCCAATGTAACCATGTCATTTGACAAAGTCTAATCTTTTTTGGCTTATTTCATGACACGCACGCAAGAGCTAATACCGGGAATGGGACAGCCTTCCCTGCCAAACCTTGTTCGTTTTGCTTAATAAAAAAAGAAAGAAAGAAAGAAAGAAAGAATTTCTTCTTTGCAAAGTTTCTTTAGATATTTGGGAATTGGAGAAATTGAACTTAAGAATTCCAAATATTTCAATATATATTTTTTATACATGATTGAGAAAAATCAGAATAATTTGACATTAAAATGTCAAAATTGATAATGAGAATATTAAAATATTTATAATGAATTAATACATAAAAAATATTATATTTATTAAGAATATTTGAACAATTTCACATGAAATCTTAAAATTTAAAATATTAAAACATTTTAATTTTTACCTTTTTCTTTTTATACATTGGAGGTTAGCTATTTGGTGTTAGTGGTATGAGGTTTAAACCAATAACCTTAACCAAAAATCAAAGTTTTTTAACTAATAAATACCAATTTAGTCAAATTTTTACCCGTAATTTCAATATATGCTTAACTACTATATCACTAACTCATTCACGTCAAATTTTGAATTAAAAACGTTTAACTTAACAAAGTTAAAACATTATGCTGCTTCAATAATGTGTATTGCGTTTACTCAAAAAAAAAAAAAAAAAAGAGGAGAATTTTGTGCCTAAAAAAAATAATGAGAGGAATTTCACCCTATGCAACAACAGTTCGAAATTTAAATGTGGGCCTCGTTGCTCATTGAAATCAGGCCGACCTAAAGATTGACTGGGTCTGGATAAAATTATTTTTCAGTAAGGCCTCAACCTCAATCAAAATTAATTGGGTCTCATGGGCCTAAATCCTAAAATAACAAATAGCGTAGCATAATCTAGAAATAAAAGAAAAACAGATACGCCGTCTGTGGGAATCGAACCCACGACCACGTGGTTAAAAGCCACGCGCTCTACCGGCTGAGCTAAGACGGCTAGGTTAATAGCAGTTGTCAACATAATTATGTCGAACTAGAAGAGGAATGGTAGCGACGTTGTCATTTACCCCTTTTGTTGTATCTTATAAGGAAAATGATGTGTGCGTAACCGGATTCAACACCCGGATGTGCACACATCATATAAAAAAAAAAATAGTCATCACCTGATTTATTTATTTTTTTTTATGTAGGAGGTACACATCTAGGTGTTGGATCGGGTGTGCATCAATCATGATCCATCTTAAAAACATCAAGTGCACATGTGAACCAGTGAACCTTACTATTATTTACTCCATTTGTTTTAAAATATAAATTGTTTGACATTTTAAAGTTTTTTTAAATGGTATTTTTACATAACATATAATAAAAAAAGTATTTTATATGACGAATTGTACATTAAAATTGTAATTTATTTTATGAAATTACTTAAATATTTTTAATAAAATTATTTTTATATTATTTTATTAAAGATATATAAATAAATTTATAAAGTATATTGTACTTTTAATGAATAATTCGTCATAAAAAACTTGAATCTTAACATATAAATGATGTTTGATTTTTTTTTTATAAATAAAGAACACAACAAGAACTATGTGGTAAAAAAAAATTTAATTATTATTTATATGCTATATGAAGGCATTGTCCAAAAGATATCTATAAAAAAAAAAATCAACGTTTTATATCTTAAAACAAAGAGAGTATCTTTAACATGCTAAATTTATTTTTCTTTAATTAATTACGATTTACATGAAAATAATAGACAAAATTGATCTCTTTATTTTTTTAATTTATTTTGAGTAATACAATGACAGACAATATATATATTTTATCAATTCTACTTATATATCCCAATCCAAATTCAAATTTTTTTTATTTTTATTAAAAGAAAATTATTATTAGATCACATAAATTGATGACCATTAATCTATTCTACTTATTTTTTCAATACAAAATTAATGTAAATTAAGAAAACATTTATTAATAGTTTTTAATTCATTTGAACCCTTATGATTGAAATGCCCCTAAAAACCATTAAACAGGGCGTAAAGAAATAATTAAAAAGAGGAGGACGAAAACAAATCACCTAAAGTCGGGCCCCCAAAAAAAAAAAAGAAAGATAAAAAACCCAAAACACCCAAAGATAATTGTGCCACACACAGGCATAACCGACACTAAATTAATATGTCATATCAGCTTTACTACTTACAATCAAAGTCAAGGGCTAAGAAAATCTTCTAAGATTAAATACGAATCTCATATCATGTGGGTTCTGTCCAATTTTCATCTTTGTTAATTCCTCCTAAGTATTATTTTAACCCATGATTATGATTATTGAAGCACGTATTTAATGACGTAGTAAGATATGTAAATATAACATTAAAAACAACTACATGTTACAATTCATAGTATATACAAATCCCATGTAAGTATTGTAAGCCAAATAACAAATTAACAAGAGATCATTGAAAAACACTTGCAATGCATAAACATGCATGTGCTTTTTTAGCCACTAAATATGAATGTGCTGGGTGGAGTAAGGCTATGATTAAGCGTAATTTGAGCGTGTTAGTCTATCACTGTAGTAATTGACTTCTTAATTTTTTTAATATTATAAAAAATATAAAATGAATTAGACTTTCATATTTAATGGTTTATCTTCGAACCATAATGTTTAAATTTAATTGATCAAAAATTTAATTTTCACCAATTTTTTTTTTTTTGAACAATGGAGAATTTAAGAAATGAGGGATATTTTTTCAAACTATTAATGAAAATTAAATTCCTAATTAACTAAATCTAAACACTTAAAATTTAAAAAAAAACTAATATACTCAAAAACACTTAATATTTAATAAAATTCCACTATGCTCGAAGATTATATTAAACTTTCACTAACTTTTATACCATGTTTTTTCATAATTTTTCATGTTAAAAAAATATAATATATTTAATATCTATTTAATTAATATTTTATATATTTTTAAAATAATAAAAATATATATAAATTAAAAATTAAAACATTAAAAACAAATTCCTAAACAAAAAGCCTAAATTATGATGCAGATAAAGGAGACCATTCAGTTGAGTGACTAGACTAGACACCAAAGAAGTCTCTTTCCACCACGCCATCATTATTATTAGGGAAGGGCTGTTTCTTGGCAGAAAAGGACCCCCACTTCGCCCATGTGCAAGGTAAATAGTTAAATTAACATAAAGATCAAACCCACTCGAACCCAAGATTACCCCAGCCCTTCCCCCCAATAATTCCATTACCATTATTGAAATTCCAGACCTTAACATTAAATTAGATTTTATAATTAGTAGCACCAATTAGATAACTACATATAAATCCGATTTCTCAATTGGTAAAATTGCTATCTTATCATCCTTTAACCATCAAACCATTTAATTTCAAGGGTGTTTGTTTTGTTATTTTAAAAATAATTATTAATTGTTAATTTTAATAAAAAAATTTAAATATTTTAGATTTATTAATTATTAATTATTAATTACATTTAAATAATTAATTTTAAAACTTAATTAATAAAATGCATGGTTTTTCCATTCCTCCGAAAGCGGTTTGAATTCATTCCTAGACCAACATATAAAAATACCATCTCCCATAATACCTCGTTGACTAAGGGAAAGGAAATTAAACGACCGTCAAAATGTAAGACGCAAGCAAGTGGACATTAGAGAAGAGTAATTATTTTCTAAAATAAATGAAGCAAACCCCACATGCACCACAATTCTTGGCTAGACAAATCTTATTGATATTTTTAATTTAATTTTTATTATTGCACAAATTGTAACCATTAAATAACTACAACTTGTTACACATATTGTAATTTTGCCATGTTCTCTCCATTTATTCTATAGCAAAATGTACGATTCCTCAATTTAAAAATAGAAAAATAATATATATAATAGCTAACGGCGTGATAGGGGTAAAGGATAAGGGACAACCAATACTTAACGGCGTTACCGTCCTCTTCTTCTTCAATCTACAGTCTTCACACACTGACAGTACACCTCGTCACCAGCTGGTACTTGACGGCGTTCTCGCCGACCGTGACTCCGCTGCCTTCGCTCCCAAACGTCATATACGCCGGACATCTCACATACAAATGATACTTGCCGGAGACAAATGTTCCGACCTTCCACCTCACGCGTCCGTCAATCTTGATCGTCAGCAACACGGCCCCGGTAGACTGATCCTGACCCAGCGCGATGGAGTTGTACGGAGCCACCGGTACGTCGGTGCCGTAAACGAATGGAGACCAGACGTTGACATCGTTGTGGCCCTGATACGTCTGCGGGATTGCGGTGCGGAGGGTGATCTGCTGGTTGCGGTAGTCGGCGTAGACGTCGAGCTTGTCGTAGTAGATCCCGATTTTGTTGTTGGGGTTGCGGGAGGAGATGGTGACCTGGAAATTGGAGGTGAGGAAGTTGGGGGTGGAGGTGTTGAAGGCGTAGACGGTGACGTCCTGGAGGACGAAGCGTGGCTTGGTGGGGCGGAGGATGGCCCAGATTAGAAGGATGGTGATGAGGATGACGAGGTTGAAGATAAGTATGCAGGCGAGGATCCGGCGGAAGACCCTCCGGCGTCCAGCGCCGTGGTGGTCGCACTTCTTGACGTCGGCTGACATCGTAACAGAAGAACAGAAGGAACGCTCAACAGAATTTTGAGAAATCTAATTGAGAAGATCACTAAAGCGCTGCTGTAGGTGTGTGGACAATGAAAGCGAAGAGGGTAGGAAGGGACCTCTGCTTTTGTGAAATTAGCGTGGCGTGCTACCGACGGGTTTGGGAATTTTATATACAAAGAGAAGGGAAGGAAGGAAAAGTAATGAAATAGTAGGAGTAATTGAGTATTTATAGGAGGAGCAACTATTCTACCTAATGGAAGAAGCACCATTCCCTATAATTTTGAGTGATTACTGTTTAGCATGAAGTGGTACTAACATTAACTTAATGACGTGACCTTAACTTCAAACTTTTATTCCCCTTCCTTGTTTCATCTCTCTGGGTTAGCTCCATTTTTTTTTAAACCGGTTTACATTTGAAAAGAGAATTTAAACCTCAATCTTTAGGTGTAAGGTTATTCTATTTTATAAAAGTAAAAAAATAAAATTTTTATATAATTTAAAATTTATGTATAATTTAACTCTGGATATAAAAATTTGAGATTAATTGTTAACTCTTTGGACAAATCATATAAATAAAAAGTTTATATTTTAGCTATCATCAATAAAATATTTGGCTAATAAAATGAAGTAGTTGATTAATAATTTAAAGATAAAAGAAAGAGAAATGGGTGATGCGAAAAACATGACAGGAATGAAAACAACGGCGCTAAAGCCCATCTAAAATGGTTGGTGGCATTGTATTCTAAAATAGTTGGTGTATTACATCCTTTGTTGGTATCTTTCAATTTCAATTCAAGATTTTTATTTGATTACATCATCATGACCGATATATTTAAATATTTTTCATTTACTTAGTATTTATATAATTTTTATTTTATATTAATTTTTAATATTTAAAAATTACTTTAAAATTTAATTAATAAAAGTAAATTAAGTCGCATAGAAAAAGAAACTCTTAACAGTGCCTTTTTTTTATTCATCTAATATTCTTTTTATGCCTGAAATAATCTGGATGAGGAAGCCGGATCCTAATAACAGGTTGGTAGGCATTAATTTGGTGACAAGGAGCGACTACCTATTTTTCTTTTAATAAAAAAATATATTATTAACTTAATATTTAACTAAAAAAATTAAATTTAAAACTCATCCTACCAATGAAAATGTGTTTCACACACTTGAAAGAGCGTAGCCGCCGCTGCGACCACATGAAGGAACGCGGAAGGGGTGACTACTTTGTTGCAATGTCAAGTCAAGAACAGCAGGCTGCTAATAATTTTTTTGAGGGTAATGAGAAGGGGACGATTTTGGGGACGAAAATGAAAGATGATAAGTGAAGTAAAGTTAAATTAATAATTTTATATCTTATAATTTGACTTTATTTCACCTGTTATTTTCTGTTTTTATCCCTAAAAATCGTTTCTCCTATTATTATTTTTTTTTCTTTTAAACATATTGTGCTAATCAATCCAGATAAAATGACAAAAAGTGGATAATAAAATAATTTACGAACCCAATCAAACAAAAAAGGAGAAGTTTGGTATGTGGGGGAATTTTAATCATTCATATTATATAATTAAAAAGATTAATCTCTTTATGAATTATTGTGGGTTTTTAATTTGGAAACGAGTAATATCAAGAACTGTTTAAATTATCATTAAAAAAAATTAAATCAAAAGAACCGTTTAAATTAATGAGGTGCTTTGGTCACCACAAGATGTCGATTGGATAGAGCAATCCTGAGCGACACGTCCCATTTATCATGGCGTCAAAAGTTTACCAGCTGGGCCTGATCTTTTTTCTGAGGTTCCAGAATATACACTCAATATCCCTTGACAATACCGACACAAATGAAAGAGGGAAGGAATGAATGTACCAAAAAGCTCCGATCCCCACCACATCTATTCCTTTTTATTTTAGTAATAAATTTTCATTTATTATCAATTTGAGTGTAACTAATTCTGTTGTATTGAGATTTAAAATTAGTGGTTGGAATTTAATTATTAATAATAATAATAATTATTAATTTATTTTTTTATAAAAATAAATAAAATGATTAACAATTAATTTCAAATTATTATCCTAAGTGCTGCTTGATTGGACGTGAAAGCGAGGGTTCTTGACTTTTCTCCCTTCTATGGATGGAGGTCTAAAAAGGTGTGAACATGATCTGATTTTGTAAGGCTAAAATAATAACATATATTAACTAGCATAAAAAAAATTGTAAAATTTTAAGTTAGGTTATACTTTCTAAGAGCTCTCATCACTTTTCTCTTTAGCTTATACCTTTACGAAGATTGTCTTGTATATATTCATAATCAATGGGTTTGTTTATAGGGATAGGATAATAAGTAACTATTTGTTAATTATTAATTTTTTAAAAAATATGAAATTTTAAATTAAAAATAAATTTTAATTTTAATTTTAAAATAATTAATTAATTAATACATGATATTTATAATTAAAATAAAAGTTAATTTTAATTTTTAATATAAAAAATAACAATAATTAGACAATTATTGCTTAAGTGTATAGAGATATAAACTCCACAATCAATTAGTGCCACTGAAGACTCATTTATTTCTATGGTTTGATGAGCGAAAAACCCAATATTTCAACCAAAGGAGCATAAGAGTAGTAAAGGTGAAGGCACTAACAGCCTTTTTAAGTAAAGGCAGAAAAGGGTTAACTAGCTCCTCACTTATGCGAGGTGTAGCTTCTGAGCTCCTCGACTAATTTCTGAAGTTCATTAAATATCAGTGAAGGTAAACAAAATGGAAGGTTCTGAATAAAATTAGTATAATAGAATTTATTTATATATAAATTTTATATATTATATTTATGTAAAATTTTAATTTTTTTAATTTTTAATAATTAAGATTTATTT